AAAACCTGCATACATTTCAGGGTTGGGTTTTTCTTTGTCTTAATTTTTTCATCTTTTTCAGGCTAACATTGGTGACTCTCAAATCAACACCTTAATTTGAGTGTCTAAGCTTATAATTTATCCTTTAACAAAATGTTTGTACTCACAGAGTTGGTCTTTTTCTGGGCCATCAGTAACATTTATACAGATAATTTCAGGAGTGAGTGATGTATTTTCCCCAGGTTAGGTAACGGTATTTTTAAGGACTTCTCATATTATTGAGAGTCTCATTGCTGAATTTCAGAAAACAACTTTCTTGGGTGTTCTTCACTAGGTAAGGTAACATAAACTTTTGTAAAACAACTGAATTTTTGTTGCCTTACAAAGCACTAGGAATGAGGGAATTCTGGTAACTCATTGTTAGTGACTGCATTGACTCCACTGGTCTTCTTGTCCTCCCAGCTCAGTATTGTCCTGTCAGTCAAGGTGAAGCTTTTAAAAATATTGAATCCATGGATGTTTTTCTTTCCTCTGGCTTTTAGCAAAAAAAAAATCAATGCACTTCACATCTTGAAAGTTAATCCTGTTAGATCTGTTTCTTTTAATATAGTGGGGTGCTTGTGTGTGCAGGATTCCCCTGTGGGACAGGTCTAGAAGGAAACGAGGATATAAGTGACTACTTGTTCTGGCTACTTCAATTATCCAGTGATAGGAGAAAGGGGAAAAAAAAATTAAAAACTGCTATGAAACTTGAGTTTTGAGATCACTTTGGACTTGCTTTTCTTTCCAGGGTAAATCAAAGTTTGTATCCATAGGAGTCTTAGGTTTTAATAGTTTCGTTAATTTCTCAGTGAACAAGCAGGTCACATGTCTACAACAATGTACAAAATAAAAATACATTTTACATTAAATGCATTCTGTCAGGCTTCTCAACAACTGTTCTTCTAAACTGGGTAACATGCCATTAGTATTTCTTCATTTAAAATTTGCAAAGAAGCAGTTGTAGAAATGGTTGAGCAAGTGTGTGCATGTTGACAGTAAACAGGTTAATATCATGAGCATCTTCTGATTTCCTGTCCTCATCCATGTATGTTTGCATATATTTACAGGTCACCATGAATAATGAAAAACTAATAACTGTCCTGATAACAATGCTTTTTGTCTTGCCTTTTTTTTTTTTTTTTTTAATTCTGTAATTACAGTTTCTGTACATTGTTTTTCTTAGTGTCAGTTTTTGGTTTGAATCTGTGAGATCTTGATGGGTATGAAGTGAATGACATGCCAGTATTTTTGGGGGGAGTGTGAAGCATTAGTTTCTTGACAGTGAACTGCTACAAATTTGCACATGGGATCTTCAAAGGAATTACTTAATACCTGTTCATTGTTTGTGGAAAGCAGCCAGAAGTTACAAAATCCAAGTTGGGCTACTTTCATACTCACCATGGGACATTCTTGTTAGAAGTCTGAGTGTTTCTGAAATACACAAGGTTTCAAGCCACTTTTGTGGGCAAAACTGAACAATTGTTCTGGTTACACTTTGGGACTGGAGCAGCCATCCTGCTCTTCCTCCATTTGGGATGCCTGTTCTCATCTTCTTGGCAGACCAATCTGAAAATTTTGATTTTTTTAATCTGTGAAGTCTCAGTAGGTGTTGTTTGTTTAACCCAGTTCAATAGAAGAAGTTTAAGTGTTGAAATGAAATTTTTCTAGTGTCCTTCCACTCGTGTCAGGATCAATATAAAATTTTTCTGTTGTCATAAACAATATCTTCAGTCACATCTTAATACTCACACTTTTGCAACCATTTGTTTTCAGCAGAGACCACACAAATCTGCAGCTAGGAAGAGTATTTTCTGCAAAAAAACTCCCAAAGGATGCAAAACAATTGTTGTGAGATTTAAAAAAAAAATAAAATTAACTATACATTGTTGTTCAAAAACCGGTTGTAGAGAACAGTCCCATGTCAGAAAAGGGATGAACTGCAAGGCAGGAGCAAATCTAATCATTTCTTTTTGTAAACTAGTTATTTTAATTTAAATTACTCCTGTTCAAATGCAATGATCCTTGAAATGACATTTCAAAGAGTTTTTTGTGAGAGAATGACTGGAATTGTGAAGTTACATTATGAATGTATTTTATTTGTGTTGTTTTCAGTGTTATCTTTTAATCACAGAAAGTGATTCTTGTTGATTCTGAGAGTGTTCTACACCTTATTCTCAAAGAAAAGAGTAATTTCCTTTTAATGTTAATTGTTCTTGAATTGGGTTTATTCTTCTGTAACACACACTTGGTTTTATTTCTCCAGTAAGTATTTTAGATGAACTTCTAAACTCAAGTGGATGTTACTGAAGTGAAGGTGGAAGTGTAATTTAAGCTGCCTTTTTTTTTTTTTCCCCAGCATTAAGTATTTTATAAACTAGGAATCAATAAATAGCATCAGGATGTTGACAACTGCGTGAAAATAAGGGTTTTGCAGTCTTGTTTTCCAGGATTCATTTGGTGATATGTGGCTGGGTTTTTTATCAGTGGGAGCTCCTGGGCTGCCTGTCATTTTCACAAGCAGTGTGAGAGATTCTCACTAAAATAAAAGTGTAATAAAATACCTGAGGTCCACGCTGTGCTCTTAATTTGATAACCAAACTATTTAAGAGCATGTTGGATAACTTATTTAGAAAGGTAGCACAGTTATATAATTGAATTTATGCTCCAAAAATTAATTTATGAAAACATAGCCTCCCTGTTGTTTTTTCTGAGGCCTTTGACAGGAATCTTTGCTACTTGAACCTGTCACTGAAAAGAGATAATGCCTCCCATTTTTATACAGTTTACATAATAAATGCGTTGAACATCTTAAGGTGAAGAGCTTTTAATTATATAAAATTTGGTTGGCTGTCAAAGAGAAGTTATAACAAGTGGCTTCCAGCCAAACTACGTCTGCTGAGGAGGGATGGATCTCTTCCCAGCACTAGAGAGGCACTCATGGGCAGAATATTATGGGGTAAAGTTTAATGTCTTAATGTATAAAAACATTTAGGAGCAAGATACATTAAAATGGAAATTTAAAGTGACTAAATCTCGTAGAAGTTTGCTGGGATTTATTATGGCTGTTTTAAACATGAAAAAAAGTTGTTTGAGCAATAGGTGTTAAGAGTGAAATACTTTATTGTATCAGGAAATACAAAGTTAGGGAGCAATGCCTTGGTTTTATAAATGCAATCATCCACGTTAAAACATTTATTCTTGTTTTTGGGTAAATATTGCTTAGCATTTGTGTATAAAGAACAAGTATAATTCTTTTAATGTTAAGGACAGAGGCAGAAAGAACAATTTTATCCATTTTCAAAGGACGACATTTAGGAGGTTTTATGTCATTTAAAAATGACATTTTAATCTGTAGATAAGCCCTAGTCAGATTTGAATGTTTTAAGATGCTGAAAAGAAAGGCTTCTTTTGCAGCTGTTTCTAGCAACAAGGGAAAGATAATGCTCATTTCTGTTTGTATCTTGAACATTTAGTGTGAAAGTTCTGAAAATTATTTTTGTGAATGCAAATTAGATACAAAACAACTAAATTATTTGACTCTCTGGAAATGTTGCAATCCAAAAGAAAAATAGATCTGAGAGCTCTCAGTGTAATCACCACAGAACATACATACAGCTTGTTAGATGCTGCCTCTCTGATGAAAAGACATAAATAATGAGAACATAATAATACTGATAATTCTAGGATTGGAAACTAAGGTTAAAGTTACCCATTATGGAGAGAGATTGTTCAAACATAAAAAGTATTTGTCATTCTGGTAAATGTATTTGTAGTTAATAGTGTTAAAATAGACTAATTATACTGTCCTCTGTAGATCTGTGCAGGAAGGGGGATTGTTTGATTTTACAGCAGGACCTTAAATTCTTTAATATAATATTAAATTCTTTAATATGTTCATTGTTCTTAACGCAGCATTTAAAAGGATTACAACAGCAAGTGGCTTAATAAAATGATAATTTTGCAATACCTCAATATCCTGAATTATATATTTAATTCAGAAAACACAATGTACTAAACCCATGAGTCAGTTTTCCTTAAATCAGTATGGTTTGTATGTAATTATATATTGGCTGATGAGAATGAATAAACCCAGTTTTACATCCCTTACCGGTGGCTGGTGATAACCTGTCTCAGAAGGGATGCTGTAAAGAGATTAATGCAATTGAAACGTATTAAGTGGAAAAAGAAAATGTTCATTCCTCCAGGTGGAAGTGTATTAATTTAACAGGTAAGGAAAGCTGCAGAAAAAGAGAAGAAGTGGACTAACAATTTCATCAGGTTTCTGAGATGAAAACTGCAAATTCACAATTTAAGGTAGAATTTGAGACTTGAGGGTTACATGAGTCTGAAATGGGGATAAAAGAGTTATATGAAACGTGGAGGAATTTGTGCATGGGGAGGTCACCTGCTGGAGGCTTCGCAGCCCAAGGACAGCTGTGTTTTAAAAGAATGAGGAGGAAAAATTTTAAAATCTCTTAAAATCATGTTTAAGCATGCTGGTGTTGTATACCTGTGTAGTTAGGGGAAATAATTGTCTAGGGGGGGGTGTTGTAATTTCCTGAAGGAAGTAACTGCTCTGTGTGTTTGTATGCAAAATTACCTGGTCATATGAGCGCCCACTCCATGTGGAAATGCCAGTATCTGATATTTTTGGGTATTATTAGCGTTAGAAACCATACAAATTAGATGGTCAAACTAAACCAAAGAAGTAAAATTCATCTTTATAGCTACCTTTGCTGGAGTTCTTCTTATGAGCTGCTTGGCCTGAATTCTCAAGGTCCTTTTCGGACTGTTTGTGAAGGTGGGAAAATTGTGTGCTGAGCAGTTGTTCTGGAAGGTGAATGTTCTGGCTGGGTCCTTCTGCTCTGCTTGGAGCAGCAACAGGAAATTTATATCAAAATGGTGTCATCATCATGATTTTTTTTCCCAGCATTACCTGACATTTTTCACAACTTGATGTGTTCTGTGTCCCAATGCAGAATGGGTGCAGCAGACAATATCTACAAAGGCCGAAGTACCTTCATGGAAGAACTGACAGATACTGCCGAGATTATAAGAAAAGCCACGCCAAGATCCCTGGTGATCCTGGATGAGTTGGGCAGAGGGACAAGCACACACGATGGAATTGCCATTGCTTATGCTACACTTGAACACTTTATTAGAGATGTAAGTGTTCATCTGGCACGTGGCTGTGAACACTTTTTCAGCTTGGCAGGCTGACTTTGGCATTTCCTTGTAGAAATGTGGCATGTCTTAGTTCATAGCAAAGTACTGTGGATAAGGAATACCAGTTCTGTGATGCTGTGTTTAAAAAAAAATTAGAGCCAAACCTTGTTATGTGTCTATTTGTTGTTGTAGGTGGAGTCCCTGACCCTGTTTGTCACTCACTATCCCTCGGTTTGTGAGCTGGAGAAACTGTATCCAGACAAAGTTGGTAATTACCACATGGCTTTCCTGGTGAATGAGGAGGAAACTGGTGAACAAAAAGGTACAGTATAAACCTAAATGAGTCTCAGGCACTGTAGGTATGGGTATAAATCAAAATTGTTGTGATAATTGACACTTCAGTGTGAACACAATGCATCCAAACTCAGAGTGTCAGCCTTATGTGGCACATGTGTCATACACACATTTTGGGGGGAACTGAAATCCATTTCTCTCATGTTTTACACAGGATGACTGAGCAAGGTGAAAGATCCACCCAGCCCAGCATCCAACTTTCCACAGCAGCAGAACACAAAGGATTAGGGAGCAGGGATTAGGGATCAGCAGCTCCTTCTGAAAGATCTTGCTGTGTGCAAACATTTGGTATTTATGGGCCTTCAAGGGCAAGTTGTGTTTCCTGCTGTTTTGTATTTCATGTTTTGGATTTCATTTCAATGAGACTGCCCAGTTTATTCTTGTGTATCCTTATTGTCTTCATCCTGCTGTGTCAGGGAGATCCAAAATTTGGTGTTCTGTGGACATCAAAACACATTATTGTTTTGAAACTGTTTTGAAACATATACCTTCACTTGGTGGTACCAGTTCTTGAATTATAGGAGGCATCATAAAGGCTTGTTCCCTGAATCATTCTTGAAACTTTTTATGGGTTTTTTTTTAATTGCCATGCTATTTGCCATTAACTTTCCCCCTAAATAATGTTTAGTATTGTATTATGTGCTTATATTGTGAGCTAATCAGGACAGGGAACTTCTGTATTTGCCTCATAGAGGAGGTTTTGACTTTGGTTTTATTTTTTTAGGATCTGAAGTTGAAGAGAATCCTGAATTTATCACTTTTCTTTATCAAATAATTAAAGGAATCTCAGCAAGGAGTTATGGGCTAAATGTTGCCAAACTGGCAGATATTCCTGAAGAAATCTTGAAGAAGGCAGCTCACAAATCAAAGGAGTTGGAGAAAATAGTGAATATGAAAAGGTCAGAGCAATTGTTACTTTTTAAAAATTATTTCCTTCTCTAATGCCTACTTCTGTTCTCACAAGTGATCCTGAAAATATTAATTAATTTAATTTAGGAAGTATCTTTCTTACTTTGGAACCTGAAACTGTGTTTGCATATTATAGTATAGAAGGAAACGTGGATATTCTTCTTCTGACTTAATTTGAAAATATGTATAATATATTTTGGTTGCTCCCCAAGCAGTCCAAATTTTTACTAAAAGTTCGGGGATTTTAACATTTTTCTGATATCCAGTTTTCATTTAGGGTGTATGTACCTTATATATTGGACTAGTTACGAAAATTTTCATATATATCAAATAGCATAATCCTTCTAAATCTCGTAACATTGTGTACACAGTTTAGATATAAATATTTGCTATATTCATATTCATTTCCACTGAGAGTTTTTTTGTTATTGTTATTTTCAGTGGCAGCCCTATGACCAAAATTCAGATAGCCTCTCTAGGAACATAATAAATCAAGATCTTGGTTGTCTGTGACTGTAGCTAATCCTGACAGAATAATTTTGTATGAGAACATTGTGACTACTAGTTATTTATAGGTGCAAACAGTTATTTTGAAACTCAACAGTTCTTGGTGCTTAACAGTGGTTCTTATCCCCTTCTAATAAAGCAAAATAAAAACATTCTATTTGAAGGTACATGGTAGTTTATGGGAAAAAGAATGTGTTAGCTTATGTTAATTGGAAATAATAGTCCATAACTGACAAAAGTAAAACAACAAATTACTAGCAATATCTTAACTCTGTTGTTATAGGCTACATAGGGTTCTAAAATCAAGAAAAAATTCTTCAGAAAAGTGAGAGCTGGAAGGCCAGAGTTACTGGGTAATAAAGCTAAAATGTGAAATAATTTCATTTATCTTTTTCTGTAAAAATTTTGCCAGCATATTACTTGGACAGGGTGCAAGAAAGTTCTAGCATGTCTTCATTGCTAAAAAGGGTGTTAATTGCATACAAAACCCATGAGCAATAAAAATAGTATGGGATGATGTAGTTGGAAGCCTGATTTAGAGTGGTCAGAGAGGGGATTTGAGGGCTGACTGAGCAGTAGTAATTAAGGGACTTGATTGTCCCATTTTTCAGCCTTTGGATCTGAAAGCTGCCATCTGTATTTTAGTTTTGGTAGGTAATTTGGTTATATTCTCAGAGTGGAAAAGGACAAATACTTACTCTAAAACTGTGATGAGCCCTTTGTCCTGTCTCATCACTAGGGCCAGGGAGTCCCTATGCCTTCTTCCCAAAAGAGATGTTAACAACATTAAAAGTGGGTATGGTGCATAAAATAACCATGGTCTTGCAAATCAACCTCAGACCTGTTCATTGCAATGCATTTGTGCTCTCACAATACGCATGGGCCAGATGCCTTGTCTTATTTTTTTTTAATCACTTTCATATTATTTCAGAAAATCCACTGGGTAATTTCATCCAGTTTTGACATCTTTGTCATCAGAAATGTGTGCTATCCCATTTTAAATGTCTTGTTATTTGTCACAGCTCTTATAAATCAAAAAAACACTAAGAAGAAAATCAGGAGGATGTGTGCACTCATTTAGATTGAGAATGCCTTTTCTCTTTATGATTCTACAAGTGCAAATTTATAGGGACTGAGTGATGAAAATTAAACAGTGCCAACTACAATGCTGTTTATTTCTTTTAACGTTTTACTCTTTCTCAGTGTTTTGTATCATTTTGTCAATACTTCTGGTACTGTAAGTAAGTTACAAAATTAATTTGTTGGCTGTCCTAGAGCAGGAACATGTATCTTAGAAAACATTACTGGTCGTTTGAAGATCACATAACATTTTGAGCTGTGCTATTTTTAACTATGTATAAAATTTTGCAGATGACTGTAGGGCTTTCAAGGTTTGATGTGCTTCATTTAAAAACGTGCCTGTATTTTGATTATTTTTTTTTCTCTTTCAGAAAGAAAATGAAGTGTTTTGCTGAAGCGTGGAAGATAAATGATTCTCAGGAACTGCAGAAGTGGAAAAGTATGTGTGAACCTGAAGATGAAAGAAAGGACAGCTTTTAATCCTCAGATCATGGTTAAAGATGGAAGATATTGGAGGTGCAAAATATAGGTCTGGAGAGTAATGGATTCTATCAGGGTGTAGTTCTGGTGCACTAAGTTGACTTTTTTGCCTTCTGAGAGATAAGAGATGCTGCATTGTGTGTAATTTTTCTCTCTCCACATTCCTTCCATTTTCACCCTTCTTCTTAATTGCAAGATGTCTACTGGCATTGGATCTAATACATTTAGAAAATATGAAAAAAAATACTGATAAATTATTAGGTAAATATTTTATAAATAAAATAATGTGTTTCATCTTTATTGTACTTCAATTTCTAAAGAAATATTTCTCTGTGTTAGGAGAATGTAGCTGAGTCTCAACTGTGCTGTACTGCAGTGCAACTGGTAAGAATGGGTACTATTAGAGAGACCTTTTTTCTTGTTACAGTGTTAATGCATTTAAAATTCACTGGTTTTTTAGAGCACCCTTTGCTCCTGATCTTGTCCCTCTCTGGGATGGTCTGGATAAAGACTTAATGACAAAAATAATCTTGGAGTATTGTAGGGTGAGTGAAAGGAGCAATTCAGGCTGTGCAGCTGGTGCAGCCCCAGTGCTCTGTCAAGAACAGAGCAAAGCTGAAAAATACGGAAGTGTATTTTTATTTCTGGTTATCAATGCCAAATTTCACATGGGAACATGATATCCAAATTGTTTTTCCCTTGTAAATAACCAGGTTAAATATGTTGCTGTGAAAATGGACCATGATGTTGGCGGACATATTCCTGAGGGACTGACCCTGTAAAGGGACCCCACACTGGAGCAGCTGCTGAAGGACTGCAGAAAACTTTTTTACCTGCAATTTTTTTACCTGCAATTTTTTAACTGCTAATATTAAACAGACACTTCTGTCCAGGTTCTTCAGATGGCAGAACATCATTTAAACAAATACTTTGCCACTCAAATAGCAGCGATCAATGTGAGCTCCTCCTTCCAGACCCTGCAATGCCTTGACTTAAACTGCAAGAGCTGAAGAGGAAAATTAGCCTTTCAGGGTGTGATTAACACACGTGTGTTTATCTAAACCAGACATTGTGGAACCTAATGAATGCAATACTCTGTTATTAATGTGCACAGATGCAGGGCTTTGGATCTAAAGGCCTCTGACCAGAGTTATCAAAGAGAATAAATGAGCCATTGCTAAATTCCTGTATGTGCTAAATGTGCTTTTAGTTGTTGCCCTCAAGGGAGCAGTCAGACTATGCTCTGACAGGAAAAAAAAAGACCTGGATGCAGTGAAAAAAGTGAAGAAATACAATTAAGTGTAGATGTGGTATTGCTGTTTGCTCGTACTATTGAGAACAAAGCAATCACAGCAGCGTTGTAATGTCTGTGATCACACTGGAAACAACTGCTCGTTTCTAGCCCTGCTGAATCCAGCAGTGGAGGTTATCTTGCTATCCCAGTAAGGTTTCTTGTAGACATACAAGCTAATTACTAAAGCTGCTGTTTTATTTGCTGTCCTCAGAGAGAGATGAGAAGCTGTTCTTTTTTTATTTTTAAATTATTATTATTATTATTCTTTCGTTTGCAGTTCCAGCATATTCCTGCACAAGTTGGCAACCAGTCACTAGTGGTGACCCCCAGGGATCAGTGTTGGGCCCAGTTCTGTTTAATATCTTTATTGATGATTTAGATGAGGGGATTGAGTCCACCGTCGGCAAATTTGCAAATGACACCAAGCTGGGGGGGAGTGTCAATCACTTGGAAGGCAGGAGGGCTCTGCAGAGGGACCTGGACAAGCTGGAGAGATGGTCTGATTCCAATGGGATGAGGTTCAACAAGGCCACGTGCCAGGTCCTGCACTTTGGCCACAACAACCCCATGCAGCGCTACAGGCTGGGGACAAGAGAGGCTGGAGAGCAGCCAGGCAGAAAGGGACCTGGGAGTTTGGATTGACAGGAAGCTGAACATGAGCCAGCAGTGTGCCCAGATGGCCAAGAAGGCCAATGGCATCCTGGCCTGGATCAGGAACAGTGTGACCAGCAGGACCAGGGAAGTGATTCTTCCCCTGTACTCAGCACTGGTGAGGCCACACCTGGAGTGCTGTGTCCAGTTCTGGGCCCCTCAGTTCAGGAAGGATATTGAGGTGCTGGAGCAGGTCCAGAGAAGAGCAACAAGGCTGGTGAAGGGACTTGAGCACAAGTCCTATGAGGAGAGGCTGAGGGAGCTGGGGCTGTTTAGCCTGGAGAAGAGGAGGCTCAGGGGAGACCTCATCACTCTCTTCAACTCCCTGAAAGGAGGTTGTAGCCAGGTGGGGGTTGGTCTCTTCTCCCAGGCAACCAGCAATAGAAGAGGGCACAGTCTTAAACTGTGCCAGGGGAAGGTTAGGTTGGACAGTAGAAAGAAATTCTATACAGAGAAAGTGATTGGCCATTGGAATGTGCTGCCCAGGGAGATGGTGGAGTCACTGTCCCTGGAGGTTTTTAAGATGAGACTGGATGTGGCAATCAGTGCCATGGTCTAATAACCATGGCAGTGTTGGATCAAGGGTTGGACTTGATCTTGGAGATCTTTTCCAACCCGACTGATTCTATGATTCTAAGATTCTGTGATTAGGCTTCATCCTCAAAAGAATTTAAAGTACAGTTTTGGTAGTGGAATCATCCTGGAGATGTACCCTATTTTTAAATCAGAGTAACAAAGTTTTGTCTGTGTGCTGAGTCAACAGGTTTTATTCTGTAAGTTTAAGGTGTAAGGTTAAAGAAAAGTTGCCTGTGCTTAGATGGGTCTTTGTCATAGTGGGAATTCATGCTAGTCTTGGGTTTGCTTCAAGACACTAGTGTTTAAATCTTGTTATCTAAATATTAATATTTTTAGAAACCTGCATAAGGCATTAGCTCCTACTGCTGTGCCAGCACGGTATTGACGTGGTTAAAATTTAATATTCATATGAAAAATACAGCTTTTTGCTATACATCAAGGTAGAGTCTGCTTGAAAAACTTCTGCACTTCATGGGTTTTATCCCTTTTTTTAAAGGTGATGTTTATCACTTTTGTGAGCTTTTTCATTGTTCTCTTCTCTGTTCTTAACAGAAAAATTTTAATGCCTTTGTCCATCTTGTCTTGAAGGTGTCACCTTCAGAGATCACAGTGCCACAGGTGAGCAACAAAACCTGGCAGAGCATTTTGATGGGAGAGAAGGAGAGGGAGGGCTGGGTGCACTGTAACTGCCTTTGTGTGTTTGGTTCTATAAAAAAGTCCTTATGGAATACACAGAGTAAAATACATTACCAATACAATTACCTCTATTGCTCACAGACAACATCTGTCACTGAAGTAATTCTCCAGAGGATTTCTCTTTGTGTTGCAAAGTTTTCCAGCAGTATTTATAGAAATTACATGAATATGCCTACCATATATGTTTACAAAGTGTACAAATCAATTTAAAGATCACTGCAATGTCAGCTCGGTCAGGTATTGCGATAAAGTGTGTTTACTGCAATGAAGTTAATGTTTATTTTTGAAATCTGTCTGAAAGTAAATTATCCAAATATTTCTACTATATGTAAAATTATTGAGAATTTGATTCTATTCTTTTAGTAGAAATACCTTGCTAGTTCTGATATGTTTCCTAGGGAAATAAAGGTTTGGTGGATTGTGTTGCACTGAGAGAAGTGGGACTTCCTTAATTACATTTTATATATATATATATACCTTACCTAGACTCAGAGATAGGTAGAAAGCAAAGGATATTTTCTTAATTTCTTAAAAATCTTAAGCAATTTCTGAAACAATAGTCTTGACTTGTAAGATGCAAGGCCTTGCAGGCTATGCTGTGTATTTTCTGAGACTGGACTGGTTTAAGCCATACGTGAACTGTGGGGAGAAACATAGGGCATTTATAGTTTTCAGATATTTATGTTCTTTTGAACTTGCAAGGAATCTGTAATTTATTTTTTTTTTTACTGCTGTCCTTCCAAAAGTTTCCATGTAAGTGAAAGTGTTTTTTCAGGTGTTACAAAGTAAGGTCATTTTTATTTAAAATACTGGTAGCTGCCACTAGTAATAATAATAATGAAAAATGCTTCTGATGTTAATGGAATTTTTAACCCTTTTTCTTTTATTTTTTAAGCAGTCACTTTTTATTATGCTATAAGAAATTGGGTGATTCTTGGGAAAGAAGGGATTGGAAAACACAATATGCAGCAAATATCAAATGCACAATCTGCAATAAAGAAGTAGAAATCAATGTTGTTGGTTTTTTTTTAACGTAATAATCCAAATATCTAGGGTGACTTAAAACTCAGAGTGTCCTGAATACTGGGAAGATTACTAGATATAATTATCTCAGTCTTATGTAACACTAAATAAAAGTTTCAGTCAAGTACTGAGCTGTTCCCTCTGCCTACATACTGAAATATTCCTCTTTGCATATTCCTTCTGCTCAACACATTAGAAATTGACTTTCGTCTTCAGGCATTCCAGAACATTTCATGCATTGTATGAGCACATATTTATAGTTCTTATTCAGAGGAGAAGGGAACAAACCTCGGATATGCCCCTCAGAGGGCTGGGATGTTTAGTCAACTTGGATTTCCAGTGCTGGAGAGGAGAGGAGAGGGAAAGGTCTGATCCACCACAGGGGATGAAGCCACAGGTGGGATGCATAGGGCAGGTGTTTGTTTTGCAGTGGGAGGGCTGAGGATCCTTCTTAAGGTGTGTCCTGGCATGAGACAGCTCCAGCAGCTGGTCAGACTCCAAGTGCCTGGGACACTCACTCAGTGGAAAAACAAGGGCTTTGGAAGGAGAATCAAAGAAGGGAGTGGGGGATAATCAAGAATAAGGCCTCAAAACAGCATTTTTGTCTGGGTTTAATCCAGTCTACCCAAAAAATGCTTCGTGGGGGAGTGATAATTTGGATTTTTTCTTTCAAAACTGATCTTAAAGCAATTAAGTTTTAATAATGCTAAGAACACAACACCAAGGTATGCCGAGCTGGCTTTTCCAAGAATATTCCCAGCTCTTAGGCAGCACAGGGTCCAGTGGGACCACCCTCCTTCCCCACGGCTGGTATCTGTCATGTTTATGCTCGCCTTGGTTGTGTTTTATGCACACCTTGAGTTCATGTCATTGCATAGCGAAGTATTTCTGCATAAAGTGAAATACTGCACTCTATTTGCAGTACTTCACCTAACGCAGACTCTATTAATGCAATTAAGTGTTAAAAGAGCTGATCTTCTATGCAAGTTCCTATTCTTAATAGCTCCTACACTGGAAAAGAAAACTTTGGTAATCCTTTAATTAAACTACAGACTAAATCTGTGTAGCCTTTTGACA